GCTTTAACCTTTACCTACGTCTGGCCACCACCTTTCTTTTTTTTTTTTTTTTTTCTTTGAAACAGAGTTTCACTCTTGTTGCCCAAGCTGGAGTGCAATGGTGTGATCTTAGCTCACTGCAACCTCTGCCTCCCAGTTCAAGCAATTTTCCTGCCTCAGCCTCCCAAGTAGCTGGGATTACAGGTGCCTGCCACCACAGCTGGCTAATTTTTTTGTATTTTTAGTAGAGATGAGGTTTCACCATGTTGGCCAAGCTGATCTTGAACTCCTGACCTCAGGTGATCCACCCGCCTCAGCCTCCCAAAGTGCTGGGATTACAGGTGTAAGCCACCAAACCTGGCCTCCCTTTCAAAGCACTTTCTGAAGTCAAACCTGAGTCAGGATTGCAACCCTGCAGAGAACTCTGATGGTAAAGTTTAAAATGATAGAATCCTTCCCACACCTGAGAAGGAAGTATTTTTTAGAAGGAAACACCAGAATCGCACTTAAGTCACTGCAAAGGCATTCATGTTTATACATTTCTGAAATTGTCTTACTTGAACTTTAAGTGGCTTTTAGTGATGTCAAAATGTTTCCATAACCTTCTGTGAGGTTACTATTATGGATCTCTATCTTCTTTATCCCATCTGCTCAGCCTCCTCCAATTTATTATTTTCCTTCATTCCTCTATCCTTTAAATATTAGTATTTCCTGATTTTTTTTTTTTTTTTTTTTGAGATGGAGTCTTGCTCTGTCCACCCAATCTGGAGTGTAGTCGTGCGATCTAACCTCACTGCAACCTCTGACTCCCTGGTTTAAGCGATTCTCCTGCCACAGCCTCCTGAGTAGCTGGGATTATAGGTGCCTGCCACCATGCCTGGCTATCCTGATTCTTTTTTTGATGACTCACTCTAGTCATGATTTCTATGGTGGTAGACACAGAAACACACTATCCAGATCTCCCTTCAAGCAAGGCCTTGCTGACTCACAGGGGGCAGCACGGGCACCAGCATCCTCCAGCCATCAGTAGGGCCCGGCTCAGCTGCTGAGTACCCCCTCACTTGAGGTCATGACTTCTCTGGGGCAGCACACTTGTAGTGACTGAGCAAGGCAGAAGTATAAAGAGGCTTCACCATTTTGTCCAACACAGAATGCTCCAACAGGCAGTAACTGTTCCATAGCTCCTGACAGGGTTGACTGAGGTTTGTTTATTGATTGATTGCAGTGGCATGATCATAGCTCACTTTAGTCTCAAACTCCTGTGCTCAAGCAATCCTCCTGCCTTGGAATTATAGGCATAAGCCACAGCACCTGGCCTGACTGAGGTTTAGTTGGGCCTATAACGTATGCCACTTCTTCCTCTGCCTAACACTGTTTTCTCCCGCTTCTTTTACGAGACCTAATCTATAACAAATATCTTGAACCCCAAACTCGGTCTCAGTAACTGTTTCTCTGGTTTCCAGAGAAGCCAGCTTGTGACAGTAGGTGATATTATCCCACATATTCTGTCACCGTAAGTTCATTACTACTAAAATATACCCTTGGCTGGGCATGGTGGCTCACACCTGTAATCCCAGCTCTTTGGAAGGCTGAGGTGGGCTGCTCTCTTGACTCCAGTTCAAGACCTGCCTGGTCAACATCGTCAAACCCCATCTCCACTAAAAGTACAAAAATTAGCTGGCCGTGATGTGAAACACCTGTAGTTCCAGCTACTCATGGGGCCGAGGTGGGAGATCACTTGAGTCCATGAGATAGAGGCTGCAGTGAACCCTGATCTACCACTGCACTTCAGCCTGAGAGACAAAGTGAGACCCTGTCTCAAATAAATTAATAAAATCAAATAAATTTGATTACGAACACTCTTCTGAGCATGTTTAACTTCCCACTTTTACTTTCACAGTTTTACTTTAATATACCAATCAGCATCTAGAACCCAGCCTTTTCAAAATTAACTCTTTCAGGCCGGGTGCAGTGGCTCATACCTGTAATCCCAGCACTTTGGGAGACCGAGGCAGGCAGATCATCTGAGATCAGGAGTTTGAGACAAGCCTGACCAACATGGAGAAACCCTGAAAAATACAAAATTAGCTGGGTGTGGTGGTGCATGCCTGTAATCCCAGCTACTTGGGAGGCTGACACAGGAAAATAACTTGAACCCAGGAGGCAGAAGTTGCGGTGAGCCAAGATGGCACCATTGCACTCCAGCCTGAGCAACAAGAATGAAACTCCATCTCAAAAACAAAACAAAACAAAACACCCTGTAAAATTAAGTCTTTCCCTGACAATCCTACTCCCTTCCTCTTATCTGTCTCTCTTGATAAATGACACCACCATTTGCCAAGCCCCCATTGTCAACTTTTCCTTACCTCCTATATTACCTATTTCTATGTTAACAAATTACTCCCCAAAATATAGTTTAAAACAACAAACATTTATGATCTAACAGTTGCAATGGGTTAGGAATTCAAGAGTGGTTTAGATGAGTGGAAACTGGAAGAGAAAGGAACACGTTCTCCCTTGGATCCTTGATGCAGAGAGCACACAGACACCTCAATTTCAGCCGTGATACTGATTTTGAACTTACAGCCTCCAGAACTATGAGAAAATAAGTATCTGTGTTGTTACCAAGTCCATAGTAATTTGTTCCAGCAACCACAGGAAACTAATATAGCAGGGAAATATGTACAAATGGGTGAAGAAACTGTGAAGGGAAGCACACACTGTTCTCAGGAGGTAAAGAGGCTGAAAAGGGCACCAAGTTTGGTTCAGTATTGCTCCATAAATGAATAAAAAGAGAACAGAGTGTAGCTGAACCATTTGCCTATAATAAAAGAGAAAGCATGGATAAAGTCAGCAATAATTTATAGACGGTGTGAAGTTGTACTTTACGACACTGTATAATACAAATTCATTTAGGGGTCTCTCTCTGCATAATTTCTCCCTATTCTAAGAGCATTTTGAGCACAGTTTGTTTGTTATGGGAGTGTTACAAGGAACCCTGACACACCAGCTCAAGAATGCCCTCCAGGAAAGAGTAAAATACAGCCCAAATCCCTAAGACCCAGTTTCCTGCATTTCTTCCACAGAACCAGTCAGGCCAAACATGATTTCGAAGAACAATAAAACAGAATCTTTCTAAAATATTGGGAAGGGACTATGAATTCTGAGGTTCTGCAGAGCAAAAAGGACTGCATTCCTGCAGATGGATCTTGGTTCCACCAGCTACCTAAACAGCTGTACCTTGGGTCTTGTAGAAGCCAGGACTATTTTAGGAAGACTTTTTAAAATGGCCAAACGATTGTTCAATCAGCCATGATTTAGAACAGATATCGATGAATGTCAGAATTATTAAATTCATCAAGCTATTGAAGTCTGAGAAAACAACTCTTCCAAAAGTGTAGAAAGTATTCTCGACAACTGGTCAGTGTTGGTGAGGCTGTCACATTTCTACTCTTTGCTCTGCTTTTTGATTCTATAAAGTCCCCTCTTTTTTTTTTTTTTTTTTTTTTTTT